TCATTGATCGAATATAAATAAAAATTTTGCCAAAATTATATTATATGAAATGCAGATTTAAAACTTCAGCCAATTATAATAACTCTGTGAAAATAAAAGACGGTTGCTAACTCCATGTTTTTTGATTTAAATACTTACAATTTATCTTTTTATTAGTAATTATGTTTGAATCCGGACTAATTTTATATATATAACGTAATAATATTTTGGTCTGGATTCAAAATAATTACCTAATTAATAATTTTATAAACTATAGAAGGAGATGCTTGAGAGCAACATATATAAATTTTAAAACAAATAATATTTTCAGATTAGATATGCCGAATTAAAAGTAAAGTATACAAACTCAATTAAATTATATTTTATGTCAACACATAAATAATTCGAATTGAGTCTAAATGACAAAATATAATAAATGAGATCGTTATTTCCGATGATCTATTTAATGAATATTTCTTAGTAAGTAAAAAATTTTTTTCTATTGCTTGCCTTATATCATTAGACTGGTTCTTTCCTTATCCATCTACTTGGGGTAATTATGAATATAAAAGCTATTGGAGGCATGATATGCTAAATAATAAAAGAAAAAAGGGGAACCAAAAAAATGCAAAATGCTTTCATTTTTACAATTTGTTTATTACTAGAGTAACTTAGTAATGCTACAAGACAGTAATCAGTTCTGTTATCTCTGAGCCGATTGGATTATATAATCAAAGAGTATATTTCGAAGACTTTTATCTAATATGATTAAACGAAGATTTTGCTATAACAGGTAATGTGATCTTGTAGAAGATTTAAGACAAATATGCATTGATTGACATGTGAAGGTGTATTTAATAAATTCTATTTTGGGTTTGGCTTGAGGCGAAGTTAATTAAGAACAATAGTAAAGTGCCAAATAGTGGGAATCAAGATAGTCATGTAATTGAATAAGAATCACAGATTCTCCTGATACTTTAAATGATGTATTGGTTAAAGATTTTAACAAAACATATTGCATGCATATTCGAATTTGAAATCATCTGATCTGATTTACTGGAGTTTAGTTTATTTAACAAATGTAGTTTATATTAGTTGTGATTTATGTACTATTAAAATTAAAACGAGATATGCTCCTGGAAATAGCAACTAATATTGCGCTGGGATCACTGTAAGGTAGTTTTCTATCTGCATAACAAGGCTGGCCATCAACAGAATATGTGATATTGCTATTCAACAATCATAATATGAAAATAGAGGAGAGAAGGTTGGGTTGCGAATTGAAGTCTGCTAGAGTGATTGTCCTTCTCCTGAATAAGCTTCTATTTTTACAGTACTGTATGCAAAAGGTTATTTAGAATCACATTTGTCTCTAGTAACTTTGATTGTACCAGACTGGTTCTGCCCCTTGTTATTTCTATAGACACGTTACTCTGCTTAGCGTCTTTTCAATCTATTAACTTATTGTCAACTCAAACTAAATGTACACCAATATGTATCTACGTTTAATAGTAATAATGATAATAGTAATTATAGTCAGAGATTACAAAGCCAATACTAGTTAGTACTATAATTAAGATTTGAATAAGTATATAGCAAACCTATTTCAATATATAATCAATGTGGTCAAACAATAATAAAAAGCAAAAAATAAGAATATATTTTATTTCAATAAAAAAAAAAGAATAATAATTTTTTAATTACAAAAATTATAATATTCTCTATTTCTTTTAACAAAAAGAAGCTCATTAACTGTATTAGGTTTAAGCTTATTTCTTTCATTTGTTATTTGTTTACCCGCATCATTAAAAAGACGTTCACAAGGAACAGATGTTGAAGGAATTCCTAAATATTTTTGTGATATTTTAAAAAGGGTTGGAAAATTATTTTTATTTTCTTTTCACCAGTCAAATAGATCAATATTACTATTAGCTTGTGGTGTTCGGATTCTATTAAGGTAATGATCAACTTCATTTTCAGAAATAATCTCATTCTCGTCATCGTCAAATAAACATGACTTAAAATTACGATTATAATTAATGGTTCTATCTTCAAAAAAATTATTTTGATGATTATTAGATTCTTGAATATTTAAATCTTTCTCATTCATAAATAAAGTATATTCTGATTTTAATAAAGCAATTGCTTTTTCTTTTTCATTTTCTAACCATCCTTTCATTTTTTTGAATCTAGGATCTAAGAGACTTGCAAGTAAAACAGAATCTGGCAGAGAATCAAAATATTTAAAGAGGGCATCATAGATTGTATTTTTAACCAATTTAATAATTTTAACAATATTTGGTTTCTTAGGTTTGTCTACTTCATTATCGGTATCATCATTGGTATCATCGTCAATATCTTCTATCTCAGGTTCTTCTTCAGTTTCGTCTTCAGTTTCTTCATTATTGAATATTTCTTTTATAATATTTATAAATATTAAATTAATATATTATTTAATAAATAAATCACAGTTAAAATAACAAATTTAATAATTTTATTGACAATTACTATTGATAGCGCTTATTTAGCTAATATTACGCTAAATGAATTTAGTAAAAATATATGCTTGCAACTAATCAATGCTTAATCCTAATCCTATTTAATGTTAGCTAAATAAATGTGCCAGATTATAATGAAATCCAGATCAAAATAAAATTATAATATAAATCTCGAAAAATAAATTTTTTTGGTGTATATTTTTTAGAGATAGGGGTTAGAGTTAGGGGTTAGTTTTAAAGTAAAGTTATAATAAACAAGTATAAGTGGGTTTTAGAAGGTTAACAGATAGAGTAGAAAATGTAGATTTCATTTTAAATTATGATCTGCGACAATAAATATTTGGTAAAATAGCTATAAATTAATTTAAACTATAATTTTTGCCGATCATATTATGAAATTTGTATCCTTTAACTTCAATTTACTACTTAAATAAAATAAATAATACCTTCACTATTTTCTTCAATTATGATATAATCATATTTTAATACTTGAATTGTAGGAAATATTAATGATAATGTGCAATATTTTTGATCACTAAGCCACTCTGTCGCTTCTTCAATTGGTTTAAAAAGTTCAATTAGTTGATCAAGCAAGTCCCATTCCTATGATTTTAAGAACCGTTTTTTTAATATTTTATAGTCTTTTTTCGCCTCTCTATTAGTTTCTAAAGAAAGCTTAAAGATTATATGCTTTATAGAATTTTTTAATTCTTTTAAGCATTTCTAAGAAGCTAAGGAAGACCCTCATCAAGTATTGTATTCATTAATGGTTCTTAAAATTTTTAAGGATGTATAAGCTACTTCGTCTGTAGGTTCAGATAATGTTTGATCTGAAGTAAAATCTGATGAAACTTGATTGGGTGAAGGTTGGCTAGATGTTGAATTATCCAAAGTCAAATTATAATCATTATTATTAAGACTTTCGTATTCTAATTGACGTTGTGCTTCTTCTAACCTTTCATTTTGTTTAGGCAAATTGAAAAATTTACTTAAATTTTGAAACCTTTTTATATATAGAGTAATTTTTTGTAAGGCTTTAACTACGCATAATTGGAGAGTATGTGCTGTACATGATATACGTTCAACACCCCCCCCACTCACGAATTGCCTTGACCATATTGGAACCATTATCTGTAACTACTATTTTAACTTTGTTATTCATTCTAAAGATATAAGTTTAATAATAATAGTGTTACGAATATGGTCATCTGTGTATGAATATTTGATAAATTCAATACAAACAAGGATATCATATAACTTCATTTCATCACTTAACCAATGGCATATTATTCTAATATACCCCTCTTTAGCACGTAATGTCCAAAGATCTACTGTTATGGCTGCAGTATTACACAATTTACCAATTAATTCTTTTATTGCCTAAAACATTGTTTGATAACTAATACCCAAAGTCTTTTTGATAGTTCTATAACATGGCAAACGAAATGCTAGATCAAATTTCTTTATCATATTCTGAAACCCTAACCCATTTACTGCATTAAAAGGTTGAGAATCCATTATTATCCAGTTAGTAACGGCATTTAATAATTCATTTTGTTTGGATTTTTTGTGTAGCATTATTTTTTTTAGTTGGCTATCAATTTTTAGTTGCGTTTGTCAAAATTTTAAAAAATTTTATTAGCATAAATTCATTTTTTGTTATTTAATATAATGGGTTAAAATGAAATAAGATTAAAGTGAAATTTGTATAGTGTAAAATCGAAAAGCTGCCAAAAAATACAAAATTTTGCATTTTATTAGTTTTTTATTTAAAGATTAGGGTTAGCTTTAGTGGTGGAATTTAAGTATAAGTGGATTTTAAAATATTAAACAAGAACCTCAAATTTCATTTTAATTCGATTTCATTATAACTCATAATGTTAATTCAGTAAAGCATAAATTTTATTTACTAATTTTTCTTCATATTTTTTATGAATAGTATTTAAATGGTGACTCATACTGCTAGTTTGAGAATTATATACACAACTCCATTCACATTCCTTATTGTCTTCATTATCTTTGTGCCTGCAATAAGCACGACCATTAGTCTTTACTCCAAAATATTTCCAAACCCAACTAGTCTTATTGTTGCCAAGATCAACCCATTGAGGTTCTTCAAAATACGGGTCAGAATTATCATCATGATTCTTATTATGATTTTTTTTATTTGATTGAGAAAGTGTTGTCTGCTTACTACACTTCTTTGAATTCGACATTTCAAAAGAAACTAATTAATAAATACGTATCAATATACTGCATTTATATATACATACACCTATATATATCATGATTGAAATGAATTAATTTTATAAGCAAGGATATACCAAAAACAATCCGGTTAGATCTAGAAATACTGCTATCAATCTAATATCGTGTGAATATGCAGATAAGCATAATTTAATGAATTACTTAATTTGATATAACAATGCAGCTGCCAATAATAATAATCCTCATTATTAGAATCAATACTTATTATTCGGTTTAGCACTCGAGTCCTCCTGCCCATCCAGAATTTATGTAAATCTACATGAAATTTGCTATTTTGTAGTAATTCAAATTTTATATCAAAGTTAGCAGTATGAGAGATCACTAGTTAATACTATATGTTATATCTGTACTGATGTACGTAAGCCACTTATTTTTAATAATAAAGTTTAATTAGTATTACAAAGTCTACAGTATTATCTTGCCCAAACAGTTAGAAAATATTATTCATTTGGAGCTTTTATTCTCATGCAAAACATTTTTACAGGTGTGTATCTTTCCTTAATACTTCACTTTTTTTATTTTTTGATTAAGAAATTTATTCACTATTTCTATTTAAATTAATTCTATCAATTACACTATTTTATACCAAATTAAACTTTAAACTCTTATACATATTTATGTACGTACATCATTAATTTAATTAAATACTCACTCAGCACTAACACCCTCAGTATAATTCTGACTGATTATATTTTCATGTGATATGTTCGTTACATACAAGTTTGATTCTTGTTTTCCGCTTTTTTGTAAAAGTTATTATCAATTAGCATCCCTCTTACAGAGTGTAATGATAAGGATTGCCTGGTGTAAACGGGAAGAAATGATCTGAAAAAAATGTGACCCAAAACTAGGGGCAAAGGTATATGACCCAGGACCTTAAATGCATATTGATCGATAAAGGCAAAGGCATTTAGTAATGTTAATTTGGGTTTAGCTCAAGGCAAAGCTCCATTGAGAACAATAGTAAGATGCCTCTGATATTCAAATGGCGGGAACTAAATTCATAGTCATGTAATTTGAGTGTGAATCGCTCATTGTTAGCCAATACTCAAAATAGTTATATTGCTCGAAAGATCTAAATTGTAGTAGCAAAGCTTTAATGCTATTTATAATGTATATAGACCTGTTAATTTCATGTACTTGAGAGCAAGATAGAGAAGTAAGAATTATAATTAATTAATAAAGACTATTTAATCCGGGATCTTAGTGACAGTAGGATTCTTAGTTCTCGATCCAAATTTTCCACGCCTTTTTTCAAGAAGCTTTTACTGTGTTTCATGTTTTTGATATATTTTGGTTGTAGAATTATGGTGATTCGAAGCTTAAGTATATAATATATTCACTATATTAGTCTAAACTGTTAAGTTCATGTTAATTTATGTAATAGGAAACAATTATTTATGTATCAACACAAATTTTTGGCCAGGCTAATTAAACTATAAAATTTTATCAGCTTAGCGAAAAAATTTATATGGTTATCCTATACTGTATTATAATACATAAAAATTTAGAATTTTTATTATTAATTTTTTCTTGATCGATCAAAAATATAACTACTTAATCGATTAATATGATCGATCAATGATTGATCTATTTTTGATCGAGTTCATAAAATTAATCGATCATTATATGATCAAGTTAATTGACTAGCAAGGGCACCGGATATTAGAATTGTATGGTTTAATGGTTCGCCCTGACTGCTAATGATGGTTTCGGTTGCTGAAAAAGGTATTTGTAGCCTAATCTGAAAGTGCGTGAGATATAAAAAGATTAGGGGGTATGTACTACACCCTCCCTAGGGCAACCTGGTAGTATGAAAACCCTACTGGGTTATCTATAAAATTAGGGTATAAGTAGTATAACAGATGTCAATCTGGGTGGTCTTCAATAAGAAGCAGCACAAGGTTATGGATTGGTATGATTGTGATGGTGGTGCAGGACTGGGGACGTCAGAGGGTTTAAATAGATAATCTCCTAATTAGGTTACAGATATGGCATATAGTGTAGAACCTTCGGGTGGACTACTTAAATTAGGCGACCAAAAGTTGCACATGTGGCTATATATACTCTTGCTAACTAAGAATGTACTACTAAAATATCTAATAAAAATCTACCCTTCCGCAACATTGCGAAGGTATAAAAAAAAAATAAAAAAAAAATAAAAAAGTTATTAAACTTTTAGTATAAGCAATTATTTTGTGATGTGACTAGATGTCTCGCACCATATACTGTAATTTTTTAAATATAATTTTTTAAATACATATTTATAAAAAATATAAAGTCTTTAGCCTTAGTATCCCTTGGATATAAAGTTCAAATAATGTAATTTCTTCTTATAATTTGTTAAGAAGTTTAATTGAATTTTAATAAGATAGAGGGAGACATGACTCTATTTTTGAAGATTAAAAAAAAAAATAAAGAAATTTTAAATATTTTTTATTTAGGCCAAACTAATATAATATGAATTAATATATTTGAAGCCATGGAGCTACTATAGCCATAACTAAAATAACCTTTTTCTTTGTTAATTAGGATTAGAGTGAAGTAAAAATAGTATGCAGTTGAAAAGATGTATTTTTATAGTAAAATTTAGCAAAAAATTTATTTTGTTAGAACTCAAGAGTAGTTTTATATACTTAATTTTGAGTTATAACTGATTTTTGACAATTTTTGATGAAATGAAAGTTGGTTTGAATTTTTCTGATTGTATTACATTATACCTGATCTTTAAATTTGATTGGCTTTTATGGGATGTGATTATAGTAGCCATAGTTACAAATTTATTGCTCCATATAATATTTATATATAATGTCTTTTTAAAAATATATTTGACTAAATTTTTATATATAACTTTAATATTAAAAAATTTTTATATATAACTTTAATATTAAAAAAAATTTTAAATATAATCTTACCACAATATATTAAAAATCTAACTATATATTATTTTATTTGTTTAAATACAATACTTTTTTAAATATATATATGGCCAAATGTTTTTATGGATGTTCTATAAAATAGGTGGGTAAACTCCGCAAACTCAGCTATTAAAAAATTAATGATTATAGAATATCCGTTTTTATATACAGTAATTCTATTATAATATATTTAAAAAATCTAAATATATATCTTATAATATTAATACTACAGTTAATACTAATACTAGATTTTAAATCTTGATCTAAAAATAAAATTCATATATACTTTTTTATTATTTATACTACCGTATAGCACTGCTTATAATATCCCCCGAAAATAATATCCTACCACACAAAATACCCTTTTTTTACCAATGAAATCACCGAATCCATGAATAGTACCCGGTACTAGCCAATTTCAAAAGTCAAGGTTTTGAATAAGACCCCACGGTATATAAACTCTAATCTTAAATTCTAGCCCAGCTTTAAAAAGCTCACAAAATTTTTAAAATTTCATATTAAGATAGATCTAAATTTTAGCATCAGCTGCGACAATATCCAAAATATGGATAATTTAAAATTTACCTAAAAAATAGTGTTAAATATTTTTTAATTAGTTCAATTACAACACATCTAAGTTATCCAATTCATCTTCAATATTAATTCATATATATTGTATGTATTTTGTATGAAGATTAACTTTAATATAGTCTAGCAATTTATGAACACCAACTCTATTCTTATACCAAAAATCACTTGCATTGCAAAGAGATTGTACTGTTTGTGTATGTGTATTTGAAAAAAGGTTGCAAACAAAATTTAAAAAGAACATTCAATTGTTTTTTCAAATAAAGCCAATTAATAAATAAACATTTTTATCAATTTTAAAGGCACATACCTGTTATCTGTATATCTAACGTAATTTATTCTCACTACGCAGAAAATTGACATAATCAAATAGCATATAAAGTTGATTCATTGATAAATGTTGATTGACAGCACAATTCTTATATCAGTCCGCAAAACGCGAACTAAGTTACTGTGAATAAATTGCCAACATTTTGGATAAGGCTTCTCGAGCTGTATCGTCGTCATCGTCGTCGTCATCATCTAACGTGAAAAGGATTGGTTATTAATAGATGTTGTATGCGCGAATAATCAAATAAGCCTAAAAAACTAACCAATCTCATGATCATCATCACTATCATATGTAGGTGATTGTTGTATTGGTTCTTTCCAAGATTCTTCTACTGATTGTGGTGACTGCGCAGTCTGTTCAACATCTTCCGCCTCACAATCAGACATATTTTCTAAAATAGACAGCGCATTAGCAATATCTAAATCTATTGATTTAAGGTTCATGTGTTTTCCTTGTAGATCAGATAAGTCAGATGACCCAACGTCCGGTAGCTCCAATGAAGAGAAACCACTGCTATCACCAAGCATGGCCAGTAAAACAGTTTCCTCAGTTTTCAATTTTGATTTTTGGTTATCAATATGACCCAGTATAAGTCTTAAATGTTCCATTTCCCGTTGGAGTTCATTTTCAAGTTGCAGATATATATCCCTTATAAAAGCAATCGACTTATTTAATAAATCTGCAAGTTTTAAAAACGAGTACTTATTAATCACCTTATATATGTCGAGTCTTTTTCCCCCTTTTTTGTTTTTGCAGAACGTTTCATCATAGGACTATTACGAAGATTGGGCTTGGTAGAATTAACTAGGGCAACCCACCCAATCATTCTATAGATCAACTTTCTTCTGATTGGCCAACTTATATGTTGTGCCCAAATGACGAGCTTAAATATTCGGGCAATCGGAATTAGTAGGGATGGCATGTGATTTAAATCACGATAGATTTTTATTTAAATCAATTTAATAATCAATTTAACGCTATGTTATGTTGCATCGGAGATTCTGTTGATTTAAAAATCGCATTCAAAGTCAGAATTTGAAATCATGATTTTTTGCCATCCCTAGGAATTAGATTATCATAATTTCTAAATCAAAAAATTTTTATTGTTGCTCCTTGCAAAATAATCAAAAAAGATTTACGTTAAGGTATACTTGATCTAGAAGCAGTAAAGAAAAGCGTTATAGACAACATATATGAAACATATAAGAAGCAATGTGTGTAAATTCAGAACATTGTGCAGTTATTTATGAGTTGACACCAGTGTTGATTTTTCAGTTAAAATTTACTGTGTGGATACCGCACAATTTAGAAACTTTTCTGTGCGGCAAATCAAGAAAAACTATAAGCAACTATTTACAAGTGTGCGCACTACTTACAAAATGGTAATTTTTTCTGTGCGGCATCCGCATATTTGTTCAAAAGAAAATGTGCGCAACATTTTGTTTCTGTGTGCTGCGCACAGTCCGCACAGCGAAAAATAATCACTGGTTGACACACCAAAATTTTCTAAGGCCACGGATATTTCCACACCACCCCTATGTAGATATCTTTTTTTTAAACTTTAATCGAGAATATCTCAACAACTACCCAACGGAATTTGAATTCTATGAAACCATAGAATTCAAGTAAAAAAAGTTCATCGAATTTCATTGGATGGTTGTCAAGATGTCCTTGATCGAAGTTTTAAAAAGTTTAAACGTCTAGTGGTTTAACGCACAATGCAAAATTCTAAAATTTTGTATTATACGGCAAAAAAAAAACTATCACGCACGTATGAATTCTGTGCCAGGTTTGTGGCGCAGGTTTACAATTAACGAAAATTTTAAAATTTATCGTTATTGTAAAAATTTTGAGTAGGGTGAACGAGATATCTTCCCCAGCATCGCCACCAATTTTTTTTCGATCACGTGATATCGACAAAATTCTTTAGAGTTCGTTTATGTT